TATGCAAACTAATACGTGAATAGAATTGATACTATAATAGAATATTTAATATCTTCTTCTTTAATTTCTAAGATTTCAACTTTAATTAGAATTAATCAATTTCAAACTAGAAATGCTAAAAGAGGCAAGCAATATTATATACTTAGATTTCAATATTTTTATGTTAAAAGTAATTAGTATGTTTTACTGGTGGATGGGGAGGAAGGATAAAAGGGTAACTTCAAAGAGTTAAGAACAAATTATAACTTTTGAAAAACTAGCATTAAGCATAATTGGTAGAATCTGTAATTTTGAGCACTTACAATGTACTCAAAACTGATGACTGTACTATCAGATATATAAAATATTACTGTCCTTGGTTCCACAGGTCATGGAGAAGCACTGCCAATACCCAGGTGAACCCATTTGAAAGTGAGAGAGTCAGAGAGAGAAAGACAAATATCATGTAATATAGCTTATATGTGGAATCTAAAATAAATAGTATAAAGGAACATATTTATAAAGCATAGAGTCACAGATGTAGAAAAAAAAAAAAAACAACAACTTATGGCTACCAAGGGGAAAGTAGGGGAAGGGTAAATTGTGAGATTGGGATTGATGTATACACACTATTTATATAATAGATAACCAATTAGGACCTATTGTGTAGCATAGGAAACTCTGCTCAATACTCAGTAATGGCTTACATGGGAAAATAATCTAAGAAAAGAGTGGATTATACATACAAAAAAATTGATTCACTTTGCTTTACAGCAGATGCTATTAATAATACAACATTGTAAGTCAACCACACTCCAATAATTAATTTACAAATTAACTTACAAAAAATCAAAGCATGTGAGAATTTGTGCACATAATGATAATATAGGATTAATATGTATGTTTGGGGCATGTGGTATTATCAATCATGCTTTTGTTCACAAAATAACTTAGTTGGAGTAAAATTATGAATCTATTGTTTAAATGAGAAAAGAGGGGGAGAGAAAGTCAGAGATTCCACCTCCTTCTATGCCCCACAAGGCCAGATGGATTTTAAGTGCCCTAGAATGACTCAGTCCAGAGTCAGCACAGCCCTGGCATCACTGCGTTCACAAGAAGGAAGATGGTGGATAGGCACCACCAGCTGGGGACCTCATTCATCTTGTCCTCAGTGTCTAGAACAGGGACAGCAGCAGAGCAGACCTCTTACTGGTCTCCGGGAGCAGAAAGTAACTCCAGAAGAGCATTTCTTTTCCTTCACTATACCAACCTAACCCCACTGGTTGATTAAGTATTGAGAAATGACTCTTACCAAAACAAAGGAATCAATGAGCTGGCTTCCTTCCTGAAGTTATTCTTGAATGAGGCCATGATATATTAATATACATTGATGTTTGTCTCTAAATAGCTTGTGTTTCATTAATAATGCTACTTCTTTTTTTCACATTGATGATAATTAAAAAAGTGGTAAAGATTTAATACCAAAAGTCCCTGATGCTGGGAAAGATTCGGGGCAGAAGGAGAAGAGGGTGTTAGAGGATGACATGGCTGGATAGCATCGCTGATGCAATGGACATGAACTTGGCAAACTTTGGCAGATGGTGAGGGACAGAGGGGTCTGGCTTGCTGCAGTCCATGGGGTCGTAAAGAGTTGGACACGACTGGGTGATTGAAAACAAACATTTGATATTTTCAAATCATTATTTTGCTTTTATTCCTTTTAGCCTATTATAATAGAAAATTTTCACTTATTCATTAAAATGTTCCTTTAAAGTTACAAGCTATCTCCAAGTTAAGTAATCTAATGGGAATGTTTTATTCCTTTTTTTTTTTTTTAACTCTGAAATGTTTAGCATTTCATCACAACTTTTCTTGAAAAGCCCTTTTCCCTTTTTCTTCTTCTTCAGGACTTTCTTATAGTTTTCCTGCTATTTCTCAGGTACTCCTTTTTTTTTTCTCCTCTCTCTCTCCCTTTGAAAGTTCTTTTTTTCTCTACCTGTAATTTAAGCAGTAATTTTGCCTGAAGCTTATTGTTATATTTGCCTTTCATTTTTCAAATAATCCTTTGACAAATTTGCTGAAACCATGTATAAGTTCATTTTAAAACTCAGTTCTGAAGATGAAAAAAGTAGAGAATAAAGGCTAGAAAAGATATTAGATATTGCCTGAGTGTAAAAGTCACTGAGCTCCTCTCTAGCTTTGTAACTTTGAACAAGTTACTTAATCTCTCTGTGCTTTTAATTCTTCTTTATCTGTAAAATCATGGTAATTATAAGGTCCTTCATGTTGAATTGTTATGAGAGTTAAATAATTACATATATATATAAAGTTCCCGGCACATAGAAAGTCTGCATTACATGTAATTTATTATTCATAATAAATGTTTCTATTACTAACAAAGACCTGTGACAGAGATTACTTAAAATATCTAAATTCTACAAAATTTTCCATAATTTTATGGTTGTTTATTGTACATGCAGAATGCGCGGGTTTGACCCCTGGTTCAGGAAGATCCCATCAGAAGGGAATGGCAACCCACTCCAGTATTTTTGCCTGGAGAATCTCATGGACAGAGGAGCCCAGTGGGCTACAGTCCATGGGGTCACAACAAGTCTGACATGACTAAGCGACTGACACTTTCATTTTCCATTGTACATTTCAGTGGAATATGAATGCCTTAATTATAATGCTTTTATTTTTGTTAGCTTTGGATTGTCAGCAAACAACTTAAACCCTGGGCTTACTGGGGAATTTACAATTTGGGAAATGAAAGCATTCATGAAGAACATGATGATTGTATTCCTTGATTTGATCAAAATTAGAGTGTAACAACCCCAAATTGTATCTCAATAGCAACTAAACAACAAAACCCCAAATTTCAAATATTAATTAGAATGTGTTCAGTATTTAAATTCTATTTCCCATGTTCTCATCTGTTTATAACAATGGACCCAGGGGAGCTCCCCCAAATTCCATCCTTCTTCCCATCAGTTAAATGAAATGATAGGAAGGTCCATGGTCAAATACAGAAATCCAGGGAGGGCTTTGGAATGGTTTATTCTTTTTCCCTTCTTTGATCAGTTTCTCCCTCTTCCTGACACACACATGGGCACGTATATTTGAAGGCTTCTCTTAGGCAGCTTTCACAGACACCAAAATTGCTACCTGTCCCTCTGTACTTGATTACTTATCTCTTTTGTCAGAGATTTCTGTGCTTTTATGAAAACTATTCTAATTATTATTCTTTACAGAGACTAGAATGATGCAAAATTGACTTAATCTGTGGCACAAAGTTTACATCTTGCTATAGAAAAGAAGTTATTGACAGGATTGTTAAAGACTAAAATTGCTGAACAACAGAAGTCATTTCAATGTCTTTGAAAAATAAGATCTCATCTCTCTGAAAGATTGTTTTCCATCTTGTCTGGGAAGATAATGAGAATTCAAACATTGCTTTTTAACCCCATGCTTCTCAGATATATATATTTAAATATTTAGAAATCTTTAAAATTGTAGATTCTGCCACAGCCTAATTGTCAAAATGAACCACAATTATAAAGTTAGGTTTTTTCCTTTAAAGATATATTGTAAAAGTTCTTAGCTAATATAACACCTTCTTTTTCATTTATAAATTACATTATATACTGCATTTTGTGTCTATATTTTATATCACATTTATTATCAACATACATTCATTTCAAGTGTTATTTATGAAGACATCAGCATGCATATTTCTGTAAGAAAAATTCTTGTGAAATAATTATGTCAAGAGAGTAGAGTGTGTGCATAAGTGCTGTCATTTCAGTTGTGTTCAACTCTTTGTGACCCTATGGACCATGGCCTGCCAGGCTCTTCTGACCATAGGATCTTCCCGACTAAGGGATCAAAGCTGTGTCTCTTATGTCTCCAGCATTGGTAGGCAGGTTCTTTACCACTAACATCACCTGGAAAGCTCAAGATAGAGTAATTGCAGTTATTTTTGAAAATATAAGCCAACAAGGACTTTCATTGAATGTGAAGTCCCCAGTATTCGGGCTATTTTTTGGAAGATATTGAATACTGTAATGCATTATTACTTCAATAAACTCATACTTTAGTTGTGGAAATGATAGTTGCAAGGTTAAAACTTCAAGATACAAAATGCAAACATAGATCATATTATTCACCAAGTGCTCTTAAAAGAGAGATAGATAAATATCAGAAAAATAGACTTTCAGAAGAAAGCAAATATGAGTTTAGCATGATTAAAAAAATTGCAAATACATACATACAAAATTCTTCAAAATAAATCTAAATGTAAAAAAGATGCATTTCCAATTAGAAACTTGCTATGCTAGTTTGAAACTAGACATACATGAGTTTAAGTTCAAAATTCAACACAATCTAAGCTTACCCTTGGGTAAGTCATTTCCTCTCCCTAAACCTCAGGTTCAAAATCTCTGAAATTATCACTATAATCATGTGTAATGAGGAGTTAAATGAAGATGATGTATTTAAGCCTTGGAACCAATTGAAGTTATCTTTTTTTCTGTGTCCATTATAGAACTGATGACTTTGGCATTGAGAAAACACATAGTACATGTTGTGTTTTTAGATTTGATAGCAATTAAAATTTTTATCCTCTCATGTTAATAGCCCATTCTTTTCTCCTTGTGTAGTATGCAAAGTAGAAGCATAAATATTATATACAAAATATGTTATCTGCTAGATATCAACTTTGAGCATTAATAAAATAAATGATTCCTTTTAATAATATTGCTTTGAAAATAACTTAGTTCTTTTGTTACAGGAGATAACTGCAAGGCCATTGAATACAGCAAGATGAAAAGTATGCTTTTAGATTTACAAAATCAAAAATACATTACACAAGACAATGAAAACCCTAATGGTGATGACGTATTTCGGAAGAAGTTGCTGGTGGATCAAATGTTTAAATATTTTGATGCCGACAGTAATGGACTTGTAGATATTAATGAACTAACTCAGGTATGATTAATGATTAACAAGCTTATTTAAGTATAACATATTCAATATATTTACATTTGTGTGAGTTTTTACTATGTTGATAAAAATATATTTATTCATATTGTTTGACTGTAGGCATAAAAGATTTTAAGAGAAATATTTGACTACTTTATCAGCAGTATGAATTTCAAGTAACAAATGTAATTTGTTAATTTCAAGTAACATCATACAAGATCCTTATATGATGTTACACAATTTAAAAGAGGCATCTACTTTTGACAGTTTTCTATTCCTTAAAATCCATAAGGAATTGCCAGTTCTCTATCTTATTGAATTTATAAAATATCACCAGACATGTTCTGGAGCTTTTGTAATTTTCTTAATTTTCTTATGGAAGCTTGCTTGTCTAGTATTCAAGGACATTATTGAAAAGCAATTGAATACATCTATAACATAATGTAAATAAGTGATTTAAGAAAGCACTAAATTGTTGATCTATTTAGTACTTTTTCAATAATCAAAGATCAACTATATTAAATCTAGTTTTAATATTATGTCTATATTATTAAACTTCATGTCTTTGAAAATTGTCACCAAAATGGTTCATACATAAAATTTGTTAAATGAATATTTTAATACACAAAATTTTTTTTTGTGAGCAGTCATATGTGTGAAAAAATGGAAATATTTTTATGTGTGTGTTACTGACACTGATAAACTACTCTGAAAGAAAGTGAAATACCCACATTTAAGAACCTAAACTAGTTGTTGATAGTGGTGGAAATGTAAAATAAGGAACAAAAAAACATATTTGCTGTAAATATACATATAGGTTTTTAGGGATAAAGGGAGAGAAGCCTATCCAGGATGACTAGGAAATTGGTATTAGCTCTGAGGAATGCTGCTGACTGCCTGATAATTCCTGTTGTGGATCTTAGGTAGATTTTGCTTCTGTGCTTAACAGTGAAAATAATTTTAAAAAAATTCAATTGTCTATTTACACAAATATGCCAATCATATTTCATAGTTAATTTAATGGCTTATTTTAAAAAAATCAACAATGTGGAATTCAGTTTTATTTTGCAAGCATTCAAGCTTTGGGATAATGTAACTTAGAGGCATCATTATCAAAGTGACCTTCTGAGCCAACTGACTTGTCTATTTCAGTTAATTAAAATATATATCATTTTCATTGTCTTCTTTAATCCAGCTTGTATTTATAGAACAGTTATAAGTCCTAAGTACTGGAATTCAAGGAATGAAACTGAAATTTTAGGGTAAAGTTAATAAACTTTTAATTCAGATATCTATTTTGGTATATATAACTCATAATTTGTTTTTCACAAATGAAATTCTTTAGAACTTTAAATTTCTGGTAATAATCAGAGATGACTAGGCAATTCAATTAAATGAATTATAACTAAAGCATGTCACCTTGATCTTTGTGTGCCTGACATAGTCAAATATAGTGTTTTTGGTTTTGCATCTTACTTTTTTATTTTATAATATTTTTACTCCCTATTAACATGCGTGCACTACTGTAACCACTGGTTGGATATGACACATACTTTGACCAAATCTAGCTATTATAAGATCCACATCTGAGTCCAAATGGAAAAACTAATCATCACTGGAAAATGGTATTGAAAGCACGCACTTGTAGTTGTTTTAAGTTTCTACTACATCCAAGTTTATATTAACTTCCTAAAGTAGCAGTAACAAAGTACAGCAAATTTTGTGGCTCAGACAACCTCTCTCTCAGTTCTGGAAGCTCAGCATCTGAGATTGAGGTGTTGACAAGGCCATGTTCCCATAGAAGAGAAGCTTCTTGGAGGAGTCTTTTCTTCTCTTCTTCGGCTTCGGGTAGCACCAGGTATTCCTTGGCTTTTAGCGCATCACTCAAGTCTCTGCCTCTAAAGTCACAAAGCTATTCTCTGTGTACTGTCTTCATGTCATCTTGTCTCTTCTTCAAAGGATACCAGTCAAATTGGATTAAGGGTCCTCCCTGCTCTAGCAGGACTTCATCTAACATCATCTAATTACATGGAAATTACTCTATTTCCAAAAAAAGTTTAAATTCTGGTGTCCTCATGTTAAGGCTTTAACATATCTTTGGAGAGGGCACATACCAATCCATAATAAAGTCATCTGGTACAGAGTTTAGTTTTTTTTTGTTATTATTATTATTATTTTGATCCAGACTTCATTTACATCTGAAAAGTGTCCTCTCAATTCATCTGAAAGTTGCCATGCAGAAATGATCTTTAGAATCCCACTTACACATTGGTCAAACATGAGGTACACACAAAGAAGGATCCGGGAAGGTAATATTTACTGACTCCTCTGCACACATCCCACATAAGTCAGTCTTTCCTTCAGCTTTATAGAGTGGAAATGGTAACATCTCCTCCATCAGCAATCAACTAACAGCCACTGTGGAAAGGATATAACACATTTCTAGCTAGTTATAGTACAAACACTGTTTTTGACTTGTCTCTTTAGGTTACAGTTGCTTTAGAAGAACTTGTATTTCAAATATTATAATATGAAAGTCAATGATATATATATGACTTTAAAAATCAACTTGGAAACATGTAACATCATCATTTAATATCAAGTTTCAAAAAGATTTAAATTAATGGAATAAAAAGGGAAATAATCTTAATGGTTCTATTAATAATTTACAAACTATGTTTAATAGATATGTAACATATAACTCTAAGACACTGCAAGTAAAATTAAAGAACATGATTTGACTTTGAGGTTTTATAAATGCAGCATTAATGCTTGCTGCACATGTTCTGTTCTTACGCCAAATAATGAATATATATATTTTAAAGCTTCTCTTGGGTTTCCTTGGTAGCTCATATGGTAAAGAATCTGCTTACAATGCAGGAGGCCCAGGTTCAATCCCTGGGCCGGGAAGATCCCCTGGAGAAGAAAATGGCAACCCACTCCAGTATTGTTGACTGGGAAATCCCATGGACAGAGGCAGCTGGCAGGCTACTGTCCCATGGGGTCTCAAAGAGTCAGGCTTGACTAAGTGACTTCCACCACCACAAAGCTTCTCTTGCAGGAAATTAGAAACTAATTTCATTTGAGAGAAGATAAAAAATAATAGCTGAAGGGGGTGAGACCCATAAAATCACAGCAACTTGTAATAATAAGAAAGTATTTGCTAGTGTCAGATGACAAGGTATAAACCTAGATCTCATTTGACCCAACTCTTCACCACTCTAGCTTGACATGAATACTTGTTACCACATACTTAGTATCTGAGTCTGGTTTTTGTATATTGAAAATATCCAACTATAAATTCAAATTTATCAAAACTGAAACTTTATACTTTCAAAAGAATCATGTTTTATGAAGTTGATAAAAATTGATGTGAGAACATGGATAGATTCGTCCTTAACAATCGAAGGTCTGGAAGAGTTAAAACAGGTAATAACAGAAGTCAGTAAATGTTATGATGGGATATTCATTTAAAAGATCATGGGAGGATATTTTAAGTAGCAAAGGAGTGCATGTCCTGTACTAGTGAAGTCCTAGGATTTCTTTAAAAAATTATCATTTTTATGATCATAGTGTAGTGACTAAAAACTTTAATTACAGAATTTGGGATCAAATTTCATCTCCTCTACTTGACACCGTGCAGTCTTTGGCAAGTGAGTCAAGCTTTCTGTGTCCCAATTGCCTTGTCTACATATTGGGAAAGATAATAATACAAAATATGCAAATTGAATGTGATATTAATATTATTTTGGAAATGTAGCCTTCTAAGAATCATAACTCATGCAATAGAAGCAACATGATGAAATTATTAGTTATAATTATATTTCAAACCCAGCTTTCCTGTGGATATGGTGGATGATAATGGAAATAAAGAGGGCACACATGCTTGAGTTAGTGGATGAACAACTGATCAATATTTCCATCCAGGTCATTCTGTGCATTTTAAATATTTACAATTTCCTGATAGGTAAGAACAAATCAGCCATCGTAACCCAAAAATCTATATCCACATTATTAAATATACAACATTTTAATGCCAACTTTTACAATGAAAAATGTTTTTTGAAAAGGAATAAAAATAATTTGGTTATTTCAAGAAATTAGGAAAAAATGAATTGCAGTATTTTTTAAAGAAATTTCATTTTATTGTGTCTCATAATTTATTTTGTCTTATTTTATATATTTTATTCTGTTCATCTCATTTGAGGTACTCACATACTTGTCTCATGTAGCTAGCATGAATGCTGTTAAATCTTGTGTGTTAGCCTAGAGACAAGTACATGTCATTATTCTGCAATCACTGTGATATTGAGCATTTTCCCCAGAGTATATAGTGTCTCATCTTTACAGATATAATGTTAAATTGAACTAAACTTAAAATAAATATCAAATATATATTTCAAGATGCTGGTATATGTTATAGCAAAATATCTTTACTTGTCAAACTACAAAATATCTATTTTTGTGCAATTTTTTCCTGCCCATAATAGCAAGTTATAAGAAATAATTGACAGCAGCATTTTCAGTAAGGCATCCCTAGATATATTATTAAACAAATAATATGCTTTACTTGACTATATTGTGCAATTTAAATATTTTAAAAATATGTAGATCCTCAATTTGTATAGTAACTAATGATAATAGTAGTAGCAATTGTAATAATACTATTAATACTATCACATTACTACAATCCAGATGTCTGTCAGCTCCTTTGCACTTCTCTTTGAGCTAAACACACACACTCACACACATACATAATCCATTTGCAAAAAGCAATGTGTGTTGGCTGAATGACTGAAGATGTGTAAGGGTGGTAGAAGATGAGATTATACCACATATTACAAAAATTGCAGTTTGAAATCCAGTTTAGAAGGATCACTTTGTACACTTTTCCTTTCCTTGTGCTCTGTCCAGAGCATGCCTTGCATTCCCTACACCACAGATGCAGGACCCAAGTCTGTTTCTCGGTTTCAATTTTTTAAGTTTCCCTGGGGCTTCAAATGCCT